GGGGACACCAAGGAGGAGGGGAAGCCCCACAGGAAGGTGTCATGACGGTCACCACTGCACGCACCTGTGGGTGGTTCCGAGGGGCGGGACCTTCTGGAAGGGTTTCAAGACCATGGACCCGGAGGGCAAGAGGCGGAGACATTTGTCTGTTGATTTAACTCCCGTGTACAAGCCTGCCCCCCTTCTGGGTTCACTCACACGGGTAGGGTGCATGTTGGCACAGAGTCCCTCCTGGCCACCAGGGAAGACCCAGGACAGGACACGGGGTGGGGAGTGGCCCCAAAGTGGAGGCACCCTGGTCGGGCCGCACCACCCCCAGGCTGCCTTCAGCCTTCACAAAGCGAGCACAGAGGGAAGCGGCAGGAGATGGCGAGCCAGGGCGCAGGCGAGTCGGAGGAACTTGGCAGACACTCCCTCCCGGGCCGCAGCCTCTCGAAGGAGGAGACTTGGACCAGGGTGTGGGGGCGGGGCCAGGCCTGGCAGTGGGCCCTCGTCTGGGCGGGAGGCTCCGCCCCTGCCTCCTGGAGCAAGGCCTGGCTCAAGGGTGGCTTGTGTGGAGGGTGCGGGCCAGCAGGGGGCACTGAGACACGGCCTCCCTCTCCTCCTCCTCCCGACTCCCACGTGGCTCTGGGCATCCTCTCCCCGCTGGTGCCCAGGGAGCAGCGTGGTGCTGACCCTTGGGGGGTGTGGGGGATGAACCGGGGCGACCAGCAGCCTCCACTCTCCGCCACGACACACACCCTTCTCCTGTCCGCTCACGAGTGGGTTTGCCGCTCTGAAGAAGCTCTGTTGCGATTTCTCAGTTGCAGTGGACGTTCAATACTGTTTAGTTTCAGGCGTGTGGCATAGCAGTTAGACACTTACGGAACTTATGAATGAAGGGAACCGCACCCGGCCTGCACAGAGTTATCACAACCCTCAGGCCACCTTCCCTGGGCCACGTTTCACGTCCCCGGGACTGCTCGGTGGCTGCCAGTCTGTGTCTCTCAGTCCCTCTACCTCTCTCGCCCAGCCCCCGGGCCCCTCCCCCTGGTGACCGTCTGTCTGTTCTCTGTTCTCTGTCCCTGAGTCTGTTTCTGTCTTTGAAAGTCTGGGACTAAGCTCCAGCCTGCCACACAGGGGCCTTCCCCCCCCAGGGAGTTTGCGGTGGCCACCACACTCGGCCGGTCACTCGCCTTTGCTGACAGCTCCCTGGTTTTGACGCCCAGTGAAGGAAGGTCCATGTGAAAGTGTCAAGAGAATGGAAAAGGCGGTTCAGTTCAGGGCTTCTCGACCTTGACCCCGTCCTCAGGGGCCTTGGTTTCGCACAGTCGTGTGGCTGGTGACAGCTGTTTTTCAAGCTCCCAACACAGCGACAGTTTTGTGGGTCCCTGCTCACTTCTGTCACCTAATTTCTGCCCTATGGTCCCCTCCAGCCACAGAGAGTCACGCCTTATGGCTTTTAAAAGGAGTTTGGAATGGATTTCAGTTCAGTTTATGGTGCGGATCAGCCAGTCCAAGGGGGTTTACAATGTCCTGGTTAATGAGGGTCCTGGAGGTCGAACCCGGGGGTCTGGGCGGCGTTGGGAAAGTCGCAGAATCACTCAGCCCAGGTGGATTTAATGTCTAAAACGTCCCTATGTTCTGTCCCTAAGGTTCTGAACCCCCGTTTTTATATTTTTAAGAGAAGATGAGTAGCTGCAGCCTGTGAGTGCGAGGACCCTGGCGCGGTGTGGGGTGACAGCATGTCATCTGTCCTCTCCCGTCCCTCGATGCCACCAGGTGTGGTCTTCCCTTTGAACGGCGGTGGCCGTCAGCGTCACACTGACTCTGTGATGAACCCCCCCCCCCCCGAGATCTGCCTTATCTCTCCCACTCACGCTCTCACTCTCTGGCACCTGTGACTGGTATCCGTCCGTCTGGGCGAAGGACTCGCCCGCGCCCTGTCTGTGAGAATTACCACGAGAGGCTGGATTGTCCTGTGCGGTGGGAGCAAACCACCGTCTGTGGTGACGGGGTGGGTGTCGTTCTGGGCTCTCCCCAGTGTCTGCTCTCACCGCACCCCCCGGCCTCACGCCGTGTGGAATCAGAGATGCTGTCCGGGGCCTGTGCTGGGTTGGAGTTCTGTGTCCCGTGTCACTCTGGAGTGGCAGCTGCTGGCCTCCCGCTCTAGCCTGATGTCCCGGTGGAGGGCGATGCGTTGATGTCATTTAACGACGCGGTGGAATTCAGTGGTGGAATTCAGGCCCCACGGGGGTGTCAGGGAATCCAAAAGCAGAACCTGGATGCTCCCATCTAAAAACTGAACCCACACGTCTGCAAGGAACTTCCCGACTCCCCACTGGGTGTCAGGAGACAGTGTCCCATGTGTGTCCTGGGAGCCGGCCACCCTGCCGGAGGCAAACGGAAAGCTGTTGGTGCAGCCGGTGCCTGAGATTTGGTTACCGAGAGAGTCTGTCTGTCCGGCCTCCTCTGCGGCTGAAGTGGCACTGTTTACCCAATAGCATGTCACGGTGACCCCAGAGCCGGTGACTCCGGGGTGTTCGTTCAGACAGGCCTGGAGCCCGGGCTGGGTGCTCACGCGCTTCTCCGCTGCCTTGGAGCAGTGAGGCGGCCGTGTCGCCCTGACACATGCTGCCGCTTCAGGCTGTGGGTCCCGCCTTGTGCTCGGCGACCTCACAGTTGTTTCTAGTGAAGTGGCCAATTTCAAGGGTGTGCAGAGAGAAAGCGTGGAGCGCAGGCAGCCGTGTTTGTGACTAACTCTTCCACATTCTACCTGTCTCTGTTGGTGCTGATCCGTGATGACATTGGAGGGAAATGAGACCGCACCCCTAGCCATGTTGCGGGCGACACACCGACGCCCTGGTCTTTAATATAAACCTTGGCTCTCACTTCAATGGAGGCATCTCACTATGTTAAAGGTCCCAAAGCATGTTGACAGCTCGGGCTCTGCTTTGTCTGAACTTCAACTTGGTCCAGTGGAAACTGTGACCTCGGCGAGCGTTTGGCCTGCGTGAACTTGAGTGTGTCACGTGGCACGAACCCCACCCCCCAGACAGGCCCCATGCAGGCAGCGAGGTGCCGTGGGTCACACCTCCACGGAGATGTTCCCAACAGGCTGCTGGCCTTTCGCCCTGAAGCTGATGGGGGCTGTTCTCCAGGGTCCCTTTGACTGTAAACTTAACTCTCAGTGGAAAAGAGCAGCCGAGAGAGCACTGACGGACAGGACCCTCCGCTCTTCCGGAAGCGGGACCACAGGGGCTCAAAGCTTCTCCGTGTAACTTTACTACTGACTCCGCTTTTTCGCTTCTGCCCCTTGATGAAGTGACAAGCTCGAGTCCTTTTCTGCGCAGCCTTTGAGTCCGTGGCTGGTAGAAGCCTGCAGTGACTCATCACGTTGAAACAAGCCAGCCCGCCGGCCCCCGAGGCCCTGACTCTGACCTTCAAACACCCCTGGGCCCGGCCCCAGTCCGAGGCGCGTCCTCACGACATGGTGGAAGGGGGCCATCTCGTTAATTTCTCCCCGCTCCCGAGTCCCCGAGGGATGGCAGCCCTGGGGATGACAGCACGGCCCCACACAGCTCTGCGTTGTCCTGTGTGGGGTGTTATTAGCCGTCAATTACAGGCTGGGGAGCTGCCTGTGTGGCTTGGGTGGAATGAACAGAGACTGGAGAGGCGTTTGTGAAGGGGCTCCCCACGAGCCTGACGTGAAGCCTGGTGCCGTGTGGCTGCCTGTCGCCCTGGGACATGCGGACATTCATTATCGTCCCCTCTCCAGCCCCGTGCAAGCCGCCGACGCAGTGAGCCGGACCTTGCCGTGGTTTTGATGCAGGAACGTCACCGACCCCTTATGCAACATTGAAGTGGCCGACTTTGCCGCAGCCAAGGTGGCTTTGTGCAGGCGGCCAAGGCTTCGGTCACCTGGGTGTTCAGAATCAACTGGACAGCAGCGAGGTGACATCAAGGGGGACGACACCCCGCTCTGTGTCCCCAGGATGAAAACAGTCGTGGACTGTTCACACGTCCTCTCCTGCCGAGTAGCAGGCGCCCGGTCCCCTGCCTCTGCACCCCTCCTCCCCGATCAGACACGACCCGGAAGGGCCCGTGGTTTGTCCACGATAAAAATGCATCTTCTCTGCGACTATTTCTGCGAAAATAAATCTCTTTTGACTATCTGGGAGACAGACTCCGAACCCTTTTAAATTCACATTGTGCCAACTCAGATCCACTGAGCCTGTTCCGCCGGCGTATCTGTGAGCCCTATGAGTCGCTGTCACCGTTTTATCAGGGAAAGCTCGCCTGTTGATTTGGAGAGGGACTCGGCCGTGGGGCCGTCCTGCTCAGTCAGCTGAACGGGAGTTTACTTGGCGCTGGAAGGCGAAGGGTTGCCCCTACGGCCCCTCGCCGCCCGCGGGCCCTGCGCCCTGGTCGGTTATCGGGCATCAGAGCCAGCTCTCTCTCCGTGTCCTCGTCCCTGACAGGTGGTGCCACTGCCATCCTGGAGCGTGCGAGGGAGGTCCCTGTCTGTGAGAAGCCCTGTTAGGTGGGAAGCCGTGTCTGATCAAGCGATGCCGGCCACACGTTCAGAGCTGACAAGCCAGGGCGTGGGATCTGATTGGCCCGGAGGGAGACAGCGAGACGATAGGATGGTGGTGCTTCTGCCAGGTGGACGCTCGCTGCGCCCCAGCGAGATGAAGGACGATGTGGTGTGGGCCGGGTGACCCGTGGCTTTGAAGCTGCCCACTGACCTTCTGAACCACGGGGCCCAGGACAGTTCAGAAGCCTGGTGACTTAGTTACCAAACCACTAAACTTTCTTTACGAGGGCGAAGGCTTCTCTGGAGACCATTAACCTGCAGACTCACAGGGGTTCTGAGGCTGGCGGGTCTGAGCCACAGAAGCCGAGGAGGCCAGGCAGGGGCCCCACCCACCGGCGAGGACGTATAAAGGCTCCGAGTCTGAAGGGACACTCACACCTCGGGAGCCAGCCCCAGTCCACCGTCCAGAGCCTCCATCTGCACCATGCCCTACGGCTACTCCACCAGGCCCTGCGCTGCCCGGCCCACGGGAGCCCCCTGCCCTGTCCCGGCGGGCCCGGCCACCCCAGGCACGGCACACGAGGTCGACTACCTGAGTGGCCTCTGCTTGCCCAGCTCCTTCCAGACCGGCTCCTGGCTCCTGGACCACTGCGGTCGGGAGGCCGGCGGCGAGCCTCCCGTCTCCAGCCCCGGACAGGCGACCTGCTCTCGGCAAACTGCCTGTGTGTCCAGCCCTTGCTCGGCTCCCTGCAGCCGGCCATTCAGCTTCGTCTCCAGCAGCTGTAAGGGGCAGGCCGGTGCCTCGGCCACGGGCCAGCTGGCCTGCGGGGCCCCCAGGACGGGCAGGCGGCCCTGCGTGTCCAGCTGCCGGAAAACGTGCTGAGTGCCTAGGAGCGGTGCCGGGTCAAGCGTCCGTGAGCTGCCAGCCGCCCCCGGACCTCCAGCAAGCCGCCTGGCCCGCACAGCCCCGGCCGCTGCCCTGCCCACGCAGCCCCTGCTGGCTATCAGCCCCGGCCGAGCTGCCTTTGGCAACCTGTGGTTTTCCCAGCCAGCACCACGCTTTCTGGAAGGGCCGATCCCTGCTGGTGCGGTCACCTCGGGAATGCTTCCAGAAACTTCCCAGCCACGCCCCGGTCCCTGGGGGTTTTGACGTGTTCTGACTTTGCTGCTGTGTCTCCTGGCTGCTGACTCTTTGCTTCTGAGGGAAGGACCTGTCTTGCTCTGTACGTTTCAATAAACCCGCATTCCTTGGCATGGCAAACGTGTCTCAAAGTTCCTTACTCCTGAGGGGCTCCCAGCCGCCAGTCACCCACAGTTTGCTGACTGGGCTCGGGTGTCCTGAGATCAGAGTGGGCACAGCGACCGAGCTCGGGGACGGAGATGGGCACGGGAGTGTCGGACATGGGCCCTGGGGGCGGCACCCTGTCCTCCGCGTCTCCCCTGGCTTGTCTGGGCTCCCAGAGTCATCTCTGGGCAGACAGACAGAGGAAAGTCACCTGGGACACCAGGCGGTTTGGGGGCGGTGCGCAGGGAGGTGGCCGTGGAGGCCGGTACAGGTTCCGAGGGTCACAGAGGAAAGCTTCCAGAGGATCGTCTGTGAGCGGGCGGGGAGGAAGGTGCGGAGGAAGGAGGGGGCGGAGGGCATCCGCCCGGCAGCCCGGCTGCCGGTGCTCGCCTGCCGTGGCGCGCTGTGAGGGGTCGCAGCCCCCCGGGGGTCAGGGAATCTGGGTGGGAGGCACTCGGACGCAGGCTCCAAGGACACGGGGCTCGTTTCACTCGCGCGTGGCCCCTGGGAATGAAGGGCAGAGCGTCTCATGTCCACCTGCTCGCTCCTTTGGCCTCTCCTGCGACAGAGACCTGGTCGCCGTGGGTTTGCTCTTGCTCCCATCTTCCCTTACGTGTGAGACACAGCTCTGCATCTGCGTTTGGCGTTGCCCAAGGAGGAGCGGAAGAGCGCCCGTCTTACAGGAAATGGAGACGCGGGAGGGCTGCGAGCCCCGGCCCATGGCGCCTCCGGCAAAATCGCCCCCATCTCCGTGCCTGCGCGCAGACCCTCCTCACCCGCGAGGGCCATGCAGAGAGGTTGAGTGTGCCCGTGATTTTCGGGGAGCTGGGACGCTTCCGGTTTCTCCCATCGCTGACTCCTCACGAAGGACCCTTCTCATCAGAGACGTGTTTCCACGGGTGACTCCTGGGAATCTCAGAGCGAGACGCAGGGTTTGTTCTCCGGCTGCTGGTCCCGGTCCGTTCAGAAGTGATGCGCGGGCGTCCGGACGCTCTGCCTTCTGCCGGAACACAAGCCTCTCGGGGAGCCCCTGGTGGCCCCTGAGAAGCCGATGCTTGCATGGCTCCTCTGGGGGGTTTTAGTTATTTCACACATTATTGGAAAAATCTGAAGATTTTCGGAGGTTGACCAATTATTTTTCAAAATATTTTGTGTCTTTCTTTAGCCTCCTAGTTTTCAATCAAAAACTTACTCGGCAGAGGTGCTGTCCCTCTCAGGCCGACGGTCAGCCATCTCTCACACGCAGGGAGAACGGTCCACAGCAGCGTCGGCGCACAGACCGGTATGGACGCCTCTGGGCTCGGCGATTCCCCGCAGGGCCGGGAACACCCAGGGGCGTCTGGCTGCCCTGTCCAGCGCTTTCCTTGCCTTCATTTCTGTTCGGGGAATCGTCTGTTTTGCTATTAGAACTCGTCTATTTGCACTTTGAAAGATTTCTTCATTGTTTGCTTGGTTTCACCATAAATAATGAGGTTTCAAGTTTGTCCCAAGGACAATCTTCTGCAACACGGTGGTGGTGATTTCTTTCTCTTCTTGGTCTGCGGACTGGAAATGCACCTTGTGTGCAAAATAGCCCGTCGCCGTGGGGAAGTGGGTTGAAGGGCTTTGCTTCAAATCCTGGTCCTGCCGCTGGACTGCAGGGGAGGCGGGGGGGCTAAGGTCCCCTGTCAAACGCAGAAGATGGTGGCACCTTATGTCCTCAGGAATAAATAAGCAGAGATGACGTGTGCAGCCTCTTACCCGACACTAAAGTGAGATGGGCCCTCTCCCATTCCTTCCCCTGTTGGGGGAGCCCTGGTACCCAGCGTCCGGGAGGGGGAGGGGTGGAGAAAGGCGGCTCTGTCTCTCCCTGACCTTCTCCGGCTCCGAACTTCAGCAGAACCAGCTCAGTTTGTGGACCCTTTTTTCTGTTCTGGGCCAGGTTCTGTCCAGACTCACCATTCACACAGCCGCCTTCTCCCCTTGCTTGTCACAAAGTCCTCCGACTCGAGGCCTTGGTCACAGACAGGACAGGGACAGCAGATTGTGGGGGCGCCGGGCACCGGTGGGCATCTGGGCCCCGCCACGCCAGCCAGCCCTTCCCCCCGCTCCCCTGCGCTGACTGTCCATACCGCCCCCCGCCCCTACGAGCTCTACGTCCCCAGACCCAAAGCCACGTGCTCCAGGGGCTGGTCGTATTGTCGGCTTTTTTCATAGCTGTTTTGTAAATAAGCACCCTGTGAGAAAAGGGCAGAAAAATCAACTGTTTTCTGGGCACATAGCACCTGAGTGGGTCACGTCCAGTGTGGGATGGAGCCAGACAGCGTGAAGTTCCAGCTCGCTGCTCAGAATGACGTGCAATTTGAAGCTTACGACTGTTTATTTCTGGAATTTTCCATTTTGTGCTTGTGGACTGGGGTCCACTGTGGGTCACTGAAACTGTGGGGTGTCTCATGAACCTCCAGATTAGGGCAATGACTCACTGCACCCTCACCGTCCGCTGCAGGTTCCCATCTCTTTTTATGATTTTTTAGCATAGGTGTGTCTCATTTGGTAGAAGAGTCTGGGGCGCACTTGTACTAAAGTTTTGTTGTTTATCTGAAATCCAAATGTAACTGGGGTCCCGTGTCTCATCTGTAAAGTTCTGCAGAAGCCTTCTGCGATCCAGTACTGATTTTGGGGTGGAAAGGAGTTCCGTGGGGCAGATGTTTGAGAAGTTCGGCTCCAGTGAATTTAACATGATTTGTTTCCTCATTCCTTTCAGATGTTTATTTTTTATTTTTTTAAAGATTTTATGTATTTCTTTTTAGAGAGAGGGGAAAGGAGGGAGAAAAAGAGGGAGGGAAACATCAGTGTGTGGTTGCCTCTCACACGCCCCCTACTGGGGATCTGGCCCACAACCCAGGCATGTGCTCTGACTGGGAATTGAACCTTCGGCCCTTTGGTTTGCAGGTTGACACTCAATCCACTGAGTCACACCAGCCAGAGTGAAATTTTTAATATTCCTACTTTGTTTTATGAATTTCTGCTAGAGAAGCATACTATTCAGATCTTTATCTATTTGTGTCTCTGCATCCATGTTTTTTAACCATGACACTTTTTAATGTCAAATATTAAGAAGCAGGACCACCATTCTGTGAGAGGCATTTGGGAGATGCCAATGGCCGGCAGGGCCTGGCGACTTGGAGAAACATGCCCACGGGGGCCCCCGTGCTGTTTTCCCAAGGCAGGGAGGGGGTGAGGAGACCGGCGCGGCGACATGAATCTGACACATCCACCTGCCGTGCCCGAGAGCAGGTCCAGCCGAGCTGGGAGGGTCGTGGGAAGGGGGGAGGGGGAGGCTCAGACAGGCCGGCCGACCAGCTCCCTCTCCGGGCCACCCCGTCCCTGCAGGGCTCCGCGGGCCCCCCTCGGCTCTTATGCCTGGGGCACGCTGTGTGAGCGCCTTTCAGGGACAGCACCTGGAGCGGCCCACACCTCCGTGCAAAGGTGACTGCAGAGGAAAACTGTGTGTGAGCAGAGGGCCGACCAAGCCGTGCAAGGTGCTGGTGACCAGTCTGGGCCTTCACGGTGAGATGTGGTGTCCGAATACCGCACAGACCTGCTGCCAAATGACCGGAATCTTTGGCATCTTAGAATCGTTTTCTGACTCTTTTTCTCGGGGAACTTATTTCTGGGCAGAACTAGCAAGTGAGCCATTTTTCAAAGCTGCTGACGGGGCTCTTCCCGGGGAAGATTGATGGCTCTGTGGAGTTATGATCCGATTCCTTTCCTCCTCCTCCCTTCTGTTATTTCGAATGTGACGGCTTTATTTTCTCATTTTATCCCCTCACTTTGCACTTGTCCCTGGCGCGGGAGACACCTCAGGAGCCACACTGCAGGGGTTCCAGCAACTCGGAAGGAGGTGTCCCATGTGCACGGGAAACTAGGGGACACCGGAGAGACCCCACCGGCTAAACTGACCGTTCAGTTGCTCACTCATCCACCCCCCGGTCCTCACTGAGCGCCTGACACTAACTGGAAAGCGTCTGTCGTGAGGGCGCTAACATAGCGAGGACGGCCTCGTTCGCTCAGGGACAGGTCGTGGGGCTGGGCAATGGGTAGCTTCCCATGGACCAAACAGTGGGGCCCCGGTGGTGGCGCCGTGAGATCTTACAGCGAGTTCAGGGAATAACGAGTTCCAGTGTGGCTCCAAAATGCGTATTACAGGTGGATGTCAGGGAGGAAGACAAAGCATAAATCAAGAACCTCGCCCTGGCTGGTGTGGCTCAGGGGACTGAGCACCGGCCCGTGAACCAAAGGGTTGCCAGTTCAATTCCCAGTCAGGGCACGTGCCTGGGTTGCGGGCCAGGTCCCTGCGCAAAAGGCAACCACACATTGATGTTTCTCTTTCCCTATCCCTTGGTCTAAAAATAAGGTAAAATCTTAAAAAAAAAAAAGAATCTTTTGTTGAAGGTCTTGACCAGGATAGGAGGAATTGGGCCTTTTCACAGAGGCGGTTCAGAGCCGGGGGAGGGCGCTGGGGTTCTTCTCACCTGGTGTCCAGCGAAACCAGGACTGCTGGACGCGCGAGGCGACATGCAGAACACCTGGCACTCCAGGCGACTCTGACGCTTCTA